CGAGGTGGTATTAAATTGATTAAACAGGAAGATAAAACTCTGATCGAAGCTATACAAAACGAAAAAACATTCGTTGGACCTTCGCTGTTATATTTGAAACGTCTCGCAAATTATGCGGTAACACAAAATTTTCAAGCCACATTTTTTGGAGTCGACTCCAAGCAATGCCAAGCAATCCCAATTTGAAGATAATTCTAATGTCAGCAACGCTAAACAGCGAAAAATTCAGTAGATATTTCAATGGTTGTCCGATTATCGATGTGCCTGGATGTACTTTTGATGTTCAAACTATGCATCTCGAAGAAGTATTAATCAAAACAGAATACAAAATGAGCAAAATGGCGACATATTTGGAAGAGAATCAAGTATCGCAAATTCGGCGTATAAAAGATGGTAACTAAATGACATACTAGATATTACATATCGGTTGCCTTATAAAGCACAAAGATTAAATCGTTGCTTAGAAAAACGCATCTTTACGTAAAATATTAATTTATTGTTTATTATTTCATTCTATAGAAGACATGCCGCGATCATATCGCTTAATGTGCGACAGTCGCCTGGATTCTTATATTTTGCGAAAAGATTGTGAATCATTTGAAAACGTTTTTTCTCTCATTGAAGGCGACTACATGCCGGCCAATTATGTTCATCGTACAAAGCAACGCACCGTGTTGGGAATTGCTGCGGAAAATGGTTCACTGAATATGATGTTAAAGCTTTTGGCTTTTGGTGAAAGTGCGACCTTTAAAGATCCATTTGGTAAAAGCGCAATTGATTATGCGAAAGAAAATAAACAAGAGGAATGTTGTGAGGGTTGTGAGCTCTTAATGTGTTATGAACGTGTGACATCCACCACAACATGGAAAAAATTACGTGGAAATTGGAAGAGCGTATCGATCAACACAAGGCACACAAAATATTATTGATCACAACTTACTTTTTCATGTCATTGATCATATCCATGAAAATACGTCAAAAAATGGCGCTATTCTTGTATTTTTGCCCAGCTACGACGATATATGCGAACAACATGAAAAGTTAGTAAGCGTACATGGATTACAGGATTGGGGTTATAAGATTTTTGCGCTGCATAGCGAACTAAATGATGAAAACAATGAGGGTCATGCTCATGTCTTTGATCGCATGGAAAATGGCGTTCGAAAAATAATATTATCTACAAATATTGCAGAAACAGCACTTACAATAGATGATGTCGTCTACGTTATTGATGCCGGAAAAGCAAAATCGCTGTTTTATGACGCGGAAACCAAATCGACCATTCTCGAATTAAAGTCTATTTCACAGGCATGTGCAAAACAGCGCAGTGGCAGAGCTGGTCGCGTTCAAAACGGCTTCTGTTATCGTTTGTATTCATTGGAACAATACAAAATGATGCACAAATATAAGCCAGCAGAAATTGTACGAGTGCCTATAGCGAAAACTATTTTTCAAATTTTATTTTAAAAAAACATATTAATCAAATAAATGTAATTTCAGTCCAATTTATTTAGAAAGATGAAAAATGGCTTTTATTTTCGGCAAAGGTATAAACGTATAAATTATTTTGTATTCAATGTATTCAATTGAATTCACTTTGAAATAATTTTTTTTTGTGTACATTATAACTAAGGCAATTTGTGTAATTTTCTTATTATATCGCATTCATTGCGCAGAAAATGAAACGAAACTATTACTATTGACTAATAATAAATGAATGATCGGTATTAAAATTATGGTAAATATAAAAAATAAGTTGGAACGATAATATGAATTTTTGTTGTATCAATAACGAACAAATTGGCATAAAAGTTCTTCCAATTTTGGTAACAAACTTTCAGCTTCCGATGGTAAAACTGAAATATTTTTCAGAACAAAGTTGCCGTTCTTTCGTTTTTGTTTTTGTTCAAATACCACAAGTCCAGGTTGATTTAGGCTAGCTTGTGACACAACAGATGACGGATGTGGATGGGTATTTCCAATGCTGTTCCCATTATTCACAATATGGTTAGGTCTGATCGATCGATCAGAGTTTTATCTTCCTGTTTAATCAATTTAATACCACCTCG